TGTTTTATTGCATAAAAGGTTTATTTTTTTTCATCCAATAAATAAATTTTTTAAGCGAAAACGAGTGTTAAAGAGGTGGTATTGGATGAAAAAATGATATTTTAGAATACCAATGGATAACAATTAAAACACAATCACAGATTTGGTATTTTAAATAATGAAGAATCGGTTCCATTTGCATTGCATATTTTTTGGGGTATTGTCAAAAACAGCACTGTAGTCCTTCGAACGTGAAATACAAGTACTGTACATATCTGCTATTCCTTTCCCTTTTAGACCAATCCTTTTGACTTATGTGCTTTCTGATAAAAATTTTCAATTATTTTTTTAATTTGCAAAAAATAAATTAATTCTGTATAAATCGAAAAGATTACTATTTCAATTATTGGCACTTTGCTCATGCTTTGGAGGACTGGTAAGAAAGCTGTGAAGAGCTGGAATTTTTATTAATGAAACCTTTTTCCATAAATGGCCTGATTTTTATGACTTTCCTTTATTATATGTCAAAGTACCAGTTTTTAACCAGCATTTTATATCTATTTATTTGGTACTTTAAACAATGCTATTCAGCTATATCTTTCCCTTTCAGACCAACTATTTTGACTTGTGGATTTTGGTGCTCTGCGCAAAAAATATTTCGCTTACTTTTTTTTTAAACTGCAACAGAAAAAATTTAATTATGTATAAATTTAAAAAATACTAATTTTTTCACATACAATCAAGTATTTATACAAGTATATTAACATTACTTACTAAGTAAGGTACTCAGTTTTAATCATTAATAAAATATTTTAGTGTTATTTTAAATAACAATAAAATATGGGCTTGGCATAAGTTTTTTAAGCATAATAGAGAATTTTTGCCATAAATTAGCATGTTTTTGTCATTAATCAAATTTACTATGTTATAAGTAAAAATGATTATTTATGTATAAAAACATACTATTACTTCAAATAAACTTACTCCCTCAAAAGTATATTGAGGATAAAAATTGTAATTTATCTCTTTAAAAAGTATGTTTCGTAATACTTTCAATTCACGTTTTGGGCTGCAAAAATTACTAGTTTATTACGTTAACTTACTATTTTAGATGACAAACTTATTTCCTTATTTTTACGCATAATCCTATTCAAGTGGATAAGTCCAACAGGTAATCAAATGGTTGCTAAATTTATTATAACCTATTATAATAAGTTTTTTTACCATAACGATAGTCATGGGACCATTTTCCCGGATGCTTAAGCTGAACACTTGGTTACTAAATTTATATATGTATATAAATATAATGAAGGCTTGAATCCTTTCGTTTACCTCCATTTTCCTTCTTCCAAATTATTATCCCCCACGCGTGTGCGATAATCATTTATTATTTCTTAAAATTTCGGTACCTTCTTTATGCACATTTTTTGTCCAAGGCATTTGCAACAATTTTCCAGTCGTAATGGGTACATTTACAAATGCATAAATGCCTCTGGTTTTAACATGCAAAAACACTTCCTGCCCCAACTCGTACGGAAGTCAGTGTGCTTTTTGGTTGCATCCGCAGACGGTTCTCGTATATATCCTCTCCACGCGCTGTACAACAATTTAACGTCTCCGTCTTCCTACCTTAGGCAGGTTCCCACCATAAAGGTATCCATGTAATAACGACACTTTCAAACGTCCCAATGAGTAACTTTATTGACAATTAGAAGCATCATTAGTTTTATCAATTATGACACTTGCAAATGTCAAAGAAAAAGGTGTTAGCCACTGACATGAGCCACCACGTAATAAGTTGCCACCACCAGCCTTTATTTTTCACACTGGTATCTATTAAGTACAATTGGATGGTGAAACGATAAAAGTTACAAGGTAGATCATTCCGTAGGATGTTTCCAACAGCCAACAGGCAACAGGCATCCGTGTTGGTAACCATTACTATTTCCGTCTTTTCATCATTAGTCTCGTGTTTTCACCTTTTAATCTTGTCCTAACAAAGAAGCAACACTTCAAAGGCTAACATATAATAATAGCAACTTGCTAATTTTTCTCATTTGAAAAGGATTTTTGTAATGGGTATCCATTATTGGACACTCGTTCGCACGTCTAAAATTCACCTAATATACCATGTATATTCACATGCTAGCTATTATTATCCTCCTTTATATTTATATACTTCCCTTATATAATTTTACCTATCCTCTCTTATGTTTATTTATTTTTACTAATTAATGTTACATCTTCAAAAATATGGTACCTGAAACATATTGAATGATATCCAATGGACACCTATTAAACAGACCCATTTTAAAAAAGTAACCTTTTGCAAATACTTTTGCATTCCTAAGGAGCTACTTGTCAAGTTCCTAATTGAATATTTTTCTTAATAGAGGAAGATTCAAAGTCAAGAGCTTGAATGATAATCACTATTATTATAATTAATTAATTAATAGTAATGGATTTTCACTGAAACCCATATAGTGTTTGGTAACTAAAATTCAGTTTGACTCTCTCCATTTCCTCCAGTATTTTTTAGCTTTCTTACTCTTAATTTAAGACTAGGGGGGAGTGCTCGCGCATCGCGCGAGTGTTTGATGCCTATAATTAGAGAGATAATTTGAGAAGAAATAGTTAAAGAAGCTGGAGTTTGATATTTTATGTAAAACATGTTTGCAGTAGAAATGTTAAATGGCATATCCAAGGCATGGTGCGGAGGAGCAGCCGGTACCGGCGATGGTGTCATAGAAGTAAGCGCTCTTGTCGAAAGGAGTAAGGACTCAATGCCCAAAGTCAACTGCTGGTGGTTCAGGAAATTAATCAGATTCATCCTACATAAAGTAAAAAGCGCCAATACAAAAGTGTGTAAACTATAAAAACAAGTCAAGGTGGATAAGCTTACCTTTATAATCAATTAGCAAGTGACTACAGTTACCTAAAGGCAAAGAGGAGCTCATCAAGGCTAACAGGAATGGCTAACCCCAACCCTGGTAGAACCTTCCTTTTTCAGTTGAGGACTAATTTGCTTAGCCAGCGTAGGAAGAAAGGCATGTAGCCGTATTTCCATTAAAGGGATATTCCCTGTTGGCTACTAATTTAGCAAGAAGGTTCACTATGTCACTAAAAGAAAAAGAAAGAGTTTGTTGTAGGAATTTCTGACCTCTCAACAGTAAATTAGTCGCTTAGTTTTCTAAGAAAGCAAATAGCTAGCACATCTCTTCCCTCGTCAAGCAAACCATTCACTTTCTCTAACAAAACGAGCGAGGAAAATGCTTGAAAGCCAAAAGCTCTATAAGATCCCAGTCGTTCTCCTGCCCTGCCTTACATCGATGGATTTCTGTCCTGCTACTGGCTATTCCCAAAAGGAAAGAGGGAGTGAATCTCTTATTTCATATAGCAGAAAACACACCATGACCAGATTAATGTAGTAAGCTAGAGTACCCTAGAAATTTGACCTTGTTCCAAATACCTCCTGGGAAGTTTTTTCTTAAAGTTGCTCCGAACCTATGATTATAAGCAAACCAATTAAATTTCAGAGGACACCGATTATGTGCAAAAATCTTTATCTTGCAGCTAAACTACACAAACCAAAGTTTCAAATTTAGGATCTGACCACACATTGATGCTACAAACCACAAGAACCACCCACATAAACAACAAAATTGAGGAACAAATCTAATCTCAAGCTAAACCACCATGAATAGCTGCGGCTGAAAACCATTCCGAGATGTTTAGTATAAAGGTTGCAAAAAATATCCCAATTCCAGAAGTCGAAAGGAGAGAAACTGAAGAAGGTGAAAGGGGAAGCATTGAAACAACCATAACGATGCTCAGCCGTTTATTCATTCAATACCCATGTTTTTGGCTATTTAATTGAGATGTAAATGGGAAAAGGAATGGGTTGTTTTAGACGTGAGCTCATATGAGTTGGGAAACGATCAGACAAGTTGTTTCAAACAAAGAAATAACCTCAAACGAGTAGTTGTAGCAACATGTCTTTGTTTTAATTGCACAATAAAAGCCACAGTTATATTAAATGTATCTATAATACCATTCCCGTAATTACACTAACATATAAGCATATATGAGTTGTACACGGTGCAAAAATGGTTGCAAAATAATTTTACCTTCCAGAAATACCCAGATGCCTATATAAATCAAAACTTTTAATGTACTAAAATAAGGACATTTCGGTAAACATACCCAAATACATGCTCCCCTCAGTTGTACCAAAAGTTTTAAGAAAACCACACAACATTCCACATTCCTAAAAAACCCCTATCATGCGGTTGAAATTCAACCCCCTCTTTGACCAAAACTCAATCTTATATAATATAAGGATACGAGACAAATAAATAAGTAAACTTTAAATCCCTATTAAAAAATAATCAATTACAAAATCCAAAGAATAAGCGTATGTCATATTTATTTAGATTTACATGTTTGGATTGCAAATTTTTTGAAAAAAAACATTGTTACGTTTTCCATGATCACATTTTTTAATCACTTTTTTACCTCACATACATCAAATCGTTACAGTAATTTTTCTATGAAAAGCTCTAGAAAATAGGAATCCAAATGAGATTGAATTTAAAACTCGTAGGATAAAACTACTTACCAAATATCCCTTAAACTTTAAATAGTTTTTTTTTTGAAGTTTAAAATTTAAATACTTAATGCAAGAAACATTTGGGGTCCATCGTGTTGGTCAATTGAAATGTGAGGCAAAAAGTGGAGCTGTGTGGAATGGATCCTTTTACCTGCATACCGTCTCTAAATATCTAGCAATAATTGTGTAAAAGATGTCGACTACAATAAAAGATGTAAAGTAAGTTGTCAAAAACTGTAAATCAAGCTCAAAGAGTCAAGACCCAGTAGGAGTAGTACTAAGTAAGCAATCCCGTTCCCCTAACTTAAAAAAAAAAAAAAAATCCTTTCGAAGTCCTTCTCATTAATATTATTGTATTCTATCCTTGCACCATTTTATTTCCCATACTCCTTGTACCTCAAAAACAAAAACAATGGCTGAATTGTTTGTTCCAAAGATAATACATGAATTGGGTGATGTTGTCGTGAACCAGCTCGGGGAGAAGATTAACCTGGTGATGGGGGTTGAAGAGGAGGTGGCAAATATCAAAAGAAAGTTAGAAACGATTCAAAATGTGCTGCATGATGCAGAGAGACGAAGGCAGAGCGAGAAACCGGTCGCAAAGTGGCTAGAAGAGCTTGAAGACATAACATATGAGATGGATGATGTCCTGGACGAATGGAACATCAAGATTCAGAAACCAAAATATGAGGGAACTCATCAGAAGCAGCCTACATTGCGGAACAAGGTTCGTTCCTTTATCCCATCCTGTTGTTCATGTCTTAAACAACTTCCTGCGCGTAGTGATATTGCTTTGAAGATAAAGAAAATAAATGGAAAGCTAGAATTAACTTTGGAAAAGGCACGCTAGTTCGAATTTATTTCAAGTGGGGGGATTCCTGATTCTCAAGATTTTCAGCGAATTATGACTACCTCAATCATAGATGAATCAGGGATCTATGGTCGAGAATCTGATAAGGATGCTTTACTTGACCAAGTATTGTCTGAGACTAGTAGTAGTCAAGGAAGAGATGGAGTTCAAATTATTTCTGTAGTAGGGGCCGGGGGTAGTGAAAGACCACACTTGCCTAGCTGCTCTTCAATAATGATGAAGTGAAGAATCACTTTGATTTTAGAAATTGGATCTGCGTATCAGATCCTTTCGACCAAAAAAGGATCGCAAAAGCTATCCTTGAGAATGCCGGAAGAGGTTCTCATTTCATGTTAGAGTTGGATTCGTTGATCCGACTTATAAAAGAAACTTTTTTTGGTAAGAGATTCCTGCTTGTCCTAGATGATGTCTGGACAGAGGATGACTCAAAGTGGAAACATTTCCAAGACTCTCTCAAGGATGGGGCTTCCGGAAGTGTAATATTGGTGACAACAAGGAGTCATAGAGTGGCCACAATGGTGGGAACAACTCATACTCACCAAATGACCCGAATGTCTGACTCTGATTGTTGGCTAATAATGCAAAGGATAGCATTTGCTAGAAAATCAGGGGACTTATGCAAGAAAGTGGAAAGAATTGGGTTAAAAATTGCAGAAAAAAGCAAAGGGTTGCCACTTGCTGCAAAGACTATGGGAAGCTTGTTACGGTTCAAAGATACCATACAACAATGGCAGAATATTTTGGACAGTGAGATATGGCAATTGAATGAAGCAGCTGTGAGACTTTTTCCTCATTTGTACTTAAGTTACAATGAATTACCCCCAGAGCTGAAACGTTGCTTCTCATATTGTGCTGCCTTTCCCAAAGATTTTGAGATAAATGTAGAAAAGCTTATTAGGTTGTGGATTGCACAAGGTTATGTTCGTCCAAATCGAAGAGGTGAGCGCTTGGAGCTGGTGGGCCTTGAGTACTTCAACAATTTGGCAATGTGTTCCTTTTTTCAAGAATTACAAGAAGTTGAGGGTTACTATGGGTTTCATGAATATATGAAGTGCAAGATGCATGACATAGTGCATGATTTTTGCACAATTTCTCACAAAAAATGAATGTCATGTACTTCATGGAATTGATTATGAACAAGGCACTGGAAGAAATTTATCGACTAAAAGAGCCCGTCATCTAACATGGCTAGGCACTGAGAGGGAGTTTAGTTCTCTAGTCGTTGATTTTGGAAGGCTCAGGAGCTTTTTAGCTTTTACACATGGAAGAGTAGTTCCCCAAGGATCAGGGGCAGCACGTCATCTGTTTTGCAGTTTGAAGTGTGTGACGACTCTGACTTTAAGTTGTTGTGGGCTACATGAAGTCCCAGCGAGATTGGAAGTTTGAATCATCTCCGGCACTTGGACTTAAGTTGGAATCTTTTTGAGACACTGCTAGAAGCTATATGTGATCTATATTATTTGGAAACTTTTGATATCAGTAACTGTGGAGATCTTTGTGCCTTCCCCAAAGGATTGAAGGCCTTGTACACTTGAGGCACCTTTTCAATCTTGGGACTCTTCAATTACTTCAAATTCCACAAGGACTCAGGAAGCTGACTTCACTTTGTACGTTGACTCAGTTCAACGCCAGGAGCAACTCTGATGATTTGGCAATTCTGAAGTACCTGAACCAACTGGAAAAATTGCGCGTTGATATTTATGGAGAAGTAGATTTTGGGAGTGTGGAACTTGGAAAGAAAATTTACCTGTGTTGAAATGCTTTAAATCAGATCTTCGACCTCCGCTGAGCTGTTCGAGGTTCTGTTGAGCTGTACAAAATATCTGATACATTCCGAACCCTAATAAAATCTGATTTTCCCCAAATTTGTTCTTGCATGTTCTTGTTTGTTCTTCCGTTCCGCTGCATCTGTTTTAACAAACTGGTATCAGAGCTCTAGGTTCGTCCTAGGGCTCAGATCACGCAACAACATGTCTGCTTTGAACATCAAGATCGATAAGTTCATCGAGAGAAATAGTTTCAGATTGTGACAGATCAAGATACGGGCTCTGTCAAAGCAACAGGGTCTGTGGAGTCTGCTGACGAAGAAGAAATCGGATTCCGTTGATGAAGAGTCAATGAGTTTGGAGGAAAAGGCTCACTCGACAATCATGCTGTTCCTGACAGATGATGTCATCACTGAGGTCGCTGGTGAAGAAACTGCAACCGGTTTGTGGGTTAAACTTGAGAGTCTCTATATGACGAAGTCTTTAACCAACAAGTTGCTCCTAAAGCAACGTCTGTTCGGTCTGCGTATGCAGGAAGGTACTCCTCTTCAAGAACATTTAGATCAATTAAATACGATTCTTCTTGAGTTGCGTAATATTGATGTTAAAATTGAGGATGAGGATACCGCGTTGATTCTGTTAGTGTCTCTATCGTTATCGTATGAGAATTTTGTTCAGTCTTTTATTGGCGGTAAAGATACAGTGACTTTAGAAGAAGTAAGACCAGCGCTGCATAGTAGAGAGTTGCGCCATAAGGCGGCTGATAATGTTACAGATAATCAGGCTGCTGGGCTAGTTGTCAGCAGTGGTAAAGGAAAATTGGGAAAAAAGAAGTCCGAAAACAAGAAGCAGTTCTTTAAAGGTCCCAAACCAGATGATGTCTGTAACTACTGTAAGGAAAAGGATCATTAGAAATCTGATTGTCTCAAGAAGAAGAAGTAGCAGGAAAAACAACACGCTTCATCTTCAGTTGCAGAAAAGGAAGCGAAAAATTCAGAAGAAAACCTGGCCCTAATTGCAAACGAACCAACACATCACTCTGATGTATGGGTTCTTGATTCTGGGGCGTCCTATCACATATGTCCAAACAGGGAATGGTTTACAACATATGAGCAGATAGATGGCGGAAATGTCATGATGGCTAATAGCGCTGTCTGCAAGGCTGTTGGGATCGGTTCAATTAAGATCAGGACACATGTTGAAAAAATTGCCATACTGAACGAAGTCAGGCATGTTCCCAAAATGACGAAGAATCTGATATCACTTAGTACTCTTGACAGTAAGGGTTTCAGGTTTAGCGGAGGAAGTGGAGAGTTGTGCATCAGTAAAGGTTCATTAGTGGTTCTCAAAGGAGTTAAGCATGGCACCCTGTACATCTTACAGGGTTCTCCGATAACAGGTTCTGCCGCCGCTGCTGTTGCATCTTCTGAAGATCGTAGGTCTGTATGACCAAGTTCTGGCACATTAGGCTTGGTCATATGAGCGAAAGGGGGATGCAGATTTTGTCTAAACATGATCTTCTAGAAGGCCACAAGGTCACCGATTTTGGATTCTGTGAATATTGTACTTTCGGTAAACTACATCGCAGAAAATTTGGGAAGGCAATTCACAGGACAAAAGGCACACTTGATTACATCCATTCTAACTGTTGGGGTCCTTCACGAGTTGAGTCTTTGGGAGGCTGTCGGTATTTTTTATCCATGATTGATGATTATTCAAGGATGACTTGGGGTAATCGTTATGAAGGAAAAATGTGAAGCTTTCAAGAACTTCAAGCAGTGGAAGGTCTTAGTGGAGAATCAAACTGGAAAGAAGATCAAAAGGCTGCGAACTGATAATGGTCTGGAATTCTGTTCGAAGGAGTTTGATGAGTTCTGCAAAGATGAAGGAATTGCTCGGCATCACACAGTTCGACACACACCACAACAAAACGGTGTAGCAAAACACATGAATCAGACACTTCTAGAGAGGGCACGATGTATGCTCTTCAATGCTGGGTTGCCAAGGAGCTTCTGGGCAGAAGCAGTAAGCACAGCCTGCTTCTTGATCAATCGTGCACCTTATACAGGTATAGACTGCAAGATACCTTATGAAGTGTGGTATGGTATGTCCCCTACTTACTCAAATTTGAAGGCTTTTGGATGTACTGTGTATTATCATGTCAGTGAGGGCAAACTAGAACCAAGGGCTAAAAAGGGAGTATTTCTGGGATATGGAGATGGGGTTAAAGGGTATAGAATCTGGTTACCCTCAGAAAAGAAAGTTATACTTAGCAGAAGTGTAATTTTTGATGAAAACTCTATACTTAACCCCCTTGTGAAGACTGTTGTTGAAGAAAGTGCAGGTGTTGATAAACAAGTAGAGCTACAAATCATTCAAAATGGTTTTGAATCACAACAGCAATTTGATAATCATCAACAGCTATCCTTTGAAACTAAACCTCCTGCAGACGTAAAGTCTCCAGAACCTGCATCAGCAGAAAGGTTGGCACCTATATCCCATACTACGTCAGAAACTTAGCAGCACGGTATTGCTTATGATCGTGGGAGGAGAGTGGGAGCACGACCTCACAGCAGGTATCGGGATTTTGTAGGTTATGCATTTTAGGTTGCTGAGGAGGTGGATTCTCCTGAGCCCTCTACCTATAGAGAAGCTATTTCAGACAGTGAGTCAGCTCAATGGCTTGCTGCAATGGGTGATGAAATGGAGTCGTTACACAAGAACGGCACTTGGGAATTGGTCAAACGGCCAGCAGAGAGAAAGGTTGTGACTTGTAAATGGGTCTTTAAAAGGAAGGAAGGAATTTCTCCAGTTGAGGGCATCAAGTATATAGCACGTGTTGTTGCAAGAGGGTTCGCTCAAAGAGAAGGAATAGACTACAATGAGATTTTCTCACCAGTGGTCAGATACATTTCTATCAGGGTGCTACTAGCAATTGTTGCGCATCAGGACTTAGAACTTGAGCAGCTAGAGGTGAAGACAACTTTCGTACATGGAGAGTTAGATGAAGAGATTTATATGATTCAACCAGATGGATTCCATGTTCCGGGAAAAGAAGATTATGTATGCAAGTTGAAGAAATTCTTGTATGGATTAAAGCAGTCCCCAAGGCAGTGGTACAAAAGATTTGACGGCTACATGATTGAGCTCGACTATAACAGAAGTCAGTATGATTGTTGTGTATATCACAACAAACTTGAAGATGGTTTGATGATCTACTTGATTCTGTATGTAGATGATATGCTCATAGCAGTGAGGAACAAAGCTGATATACAGAAGTTAAAAAGTCTTCTCAGTGCAGAGTTTGAGATGAAAGACTTGGGTGCAGCACAGAAAATTTTAGGAATGGAGATTTTCAGGGATAGAAGTCAGAAGAAGCTTTTCTTAACACAGAAGAGTTATATTGAGAATGTATTAACCAGATTTGGCATGTCTACAGCAAAACCCTTAAATACTCCGAGTGCAGCGAATGCTCAACTATCAGTTACACTCGCACCACAGTCAGAAGCCGAGATAGAGTATATGGCTAAGGTTCCCTATTCTAGTGCAGTGGGCAGTTTGATGTATGTCATGGTCTGCACTAGACCTGATCTGGAACATGCAGTCAGTGTTGTTAGCAGATTTATGGCTAATCCTAGGAAGGAGCACTGGCTGGCCATGAAGCTAATTTTTTAGCACTTTAGGGGTACATCTGATGTTGGTCTCATCTATGGAGGTGACACAGAGTGTTTGGTTACAGGCTATTCAAATTCTGATTATGCTGGAGATATTGATAGTATGAGGTCGATGACTGGTTATGTTTTCACTCTTGGGCATTCTGTAGTTAGTTGGAAAGCAACTCTACAACCTATAGTGACTCTGTCCACTACTGAGGCAGAGTATATGGCATTGACGAAAGCTGCTAAAGAGGGAATTTGGTTAAAGGGGCTGGTTGGAGATCTTGACCTACATCAGGATCAGGCTAATATATATTGTGATAGTCTCAGTGCAATATGTCTAGCCAAGTATCAAGTTCATCATGAGAGGACTAAACACATTGATGTCCGATATCACTTCTTGAGATCTGAGACAAGAATCAAGGTGAAGAAAATTGGCACTGCTGACAATCCTGCTGACATATTCACCAAGCTGATTCCTCATAGTAAGTTCAAACATTGTTTGGACTTGCTAAATGTCCTAAGTTTCTGATAGCCCTTGTGGGCATCCTGATGGTACTTAGAGACAATTTTGATGGTAAAAAAAGACTCTGAGTACGTCTGGCACTTCATTAGTGCGTCTGTTACATCTGTTTCCGAGAAGATTCAAGTCAAGGTGGGGATTTGTTGAAATGTCTTGAATCAGATCTTCGACCTCCGCTGAGCTGTTCGGGGGTATGCTGAGCTTACGGTATATATTAGATATCGTATCCGTTTTAGTTTGGGTCTCAGTTTTTTAACCCTAATTTTTGGGTCCAATCCGTTTTGGTTATTTGGTTATATATATATACCTTATATCCATTCTGTACAAAATATCTGATATATTCCGAACCCTAATAAAATCTGATTTCCCCCAAATTTGTTCTTGCCTGTTCTTGTTTGTTCTTCCATTCCGCTGCATCTGTTTTAACAACCTGCGTGAAATGTATTTGTGGTTTAACCCTGGAGTCCACTTTATGGAAACTCCAAGTTGCATTGAAAGCATGGAATTGCCTCCAAACTTGCAACAACTTGCGCTAATATGTACCCAGGAAACCAGTTACCAAGTTGGCTTGTGACGAAGTCTCTCATCAAAAACTTGAAGAAGCTAATTATCGATGGGCCCCGCAATGTCTCATCCTTGACTGCCTTGTGGAAGCTGTCATCCCTAGAAGAGCTCAGGCTCATTAGAGTGGAAAAGCTGGAATGTTTGGGCAAGGAATTCTTTGGAATCACAATAGCACTACATGAGAATAGTCATAATACCTTTGGTACATTGTCAAACTCCGAGACATCATCTTTAGCTGAAGCAGCAGCATTTCCCAATTTGAGAAAATTACATTTTCAATGCTGCCCAAATTGGACAAATTGGGAAGACTTAAGTGAAGATGATGAAAAAGTTGCTGTCTCTATCATGCCACGCTTGAAGGAGCTACATATTGAGTACTGTAAAAAGTTTGAGACTTTGCCACATCGCATCCTTGAAAAGATATCATCTTTCAAAAGTTTGAAAGTTCTGGGTTGTAACAAGTTGAGGGATTGTTACTCCGATAAAATAGGAGATGACTGGATGAAAATATCACGCATTTCTCAAGTTGACATATCCTAATATCTGCTCAAGTATGATTATTCACACATTTTTTTTATGTATCTATCATCTTTGAAGTTAAATAATTACTGCCTATAGATTACAACAAACTAGGGCCTACTTCGTGGAATGACATGTACTTAATAACAAATCAAGTGTTCATATATCTAATGAAAATATGAAATGATGATGCATCTGAGAAAATGGCCTGTTTAACTGAATATGATTTGAGATGCACAACTTCTGATGTAATATTAACGCATACAAGAAAAAATTGACTTTTGCAAAATTTCATCAAAACTTTGGCCCACCTGAAGAATTCAGTAGAATAATAGCCCTAACTTTCTTTTGCTTCAAAAAAAAAAGTAATAAATAATTTGTATATAAATCAAGTGGAAATATTCATTAATAGTTTAGAGTGGATTTTTTTTTTATTGAGAGGATGTATGTCATTAACTGGTAAATATAGCACTAAATTTCTAACAATATCCAACTCTAAATTCTTGAATTTGGAACTCCATTTATATCTTGTCTTTTTAATTTTTATCCTTTTCATTTTTGGGTTTTGTCCTTTATTTTCCAGGTAATACTCATTGATGGCTCTAACTGAAGCTACAACAGAAGGCATTGGGGAATCAATCTCTATGTCAACTTGTAGTTAGGCGATGTGACTAAGTTGAAAATTCACATCCACATGCTTTGTTTAGAATCATTTGTTGAAAGCATATGTAACTTCAACAATTTCTCAGCTCTTATTTCTTTAAATTATTATTGTCCTGTTGTATTTAAGTTTGTTTAGATGCAATAAAGAAAAAAGTTTGTACATTATGTTTATCTGTATAGTGTATTACCGGCACACCTAATGTATGATACTATCCTTATGGTTAAAAGCTAACAAGTTCGCAAATTAATTTTTAGCTTGCCTTCTTTCTTAAGAAAATGTTTACAGAGTTGATACTAACGATGAAATTGAAACATAGATGGTAAAGAGAAACAAGAGGGTTTAAGTTTTGAGGCAAGGACCTCATAACTATGTGACTAATGTTCCTACCAATTAAATTAAGAAGATGATTTAAGTTTCAAAGCAAGGACCTCATAATCACTGGATGTCTCTACCAGTTAAATTAGGATTTGAGGACATTTTTTTCTCCTAGCAGTAGGGGCATAGGATTTAAAAAATAAGGAGG